GTACCTGACCAAGCGCACCATAGCTCGAAAGTTGAAACGGCACTCAGCCCGAGCCCCTCCGGGCGCTCGATCGTATGCTCGTGGAGGCGTCGCGCGGCCGCAGTCTTCGCAGCGGCGGCCGCCGCTGCGGTGGATGCGGGCCGGAGAGAAGGCCGCGCGCGCGGCCAGGGGCCAGGGGCTGGCTCTGGCTCGGGCGAGGGCGATCCCGGTTGTCCCTCCGCGGGCGCCTCTGGTCATGACCGCTTGCTCGACGGCTGGGTTGTGCGTGCGCGCGACTCTCGAGTCGTCGGCGAGTAGTGTGCGCGGGCGGTGGGTGCCGTGGAGATTAGGGGAGATCGCTTTGAGCTGCGGGAGATGTTTGGGAGAACGACCAACGAGAGATACAGACACGGCGGTGCGGTGTCTGGAGTAACATCTCAGAGATTGAGCAGCGCAGGGGGTGTGCACCTGCCCCCCCATCTCCGGTCCAACGAGTAGAAACATGTTTCCAAAAAGCAGCTACGCCCCGACACGACGACGAGACTCACTCTCCTCGCACTTCCTCGCAGCAACCAAGGTCCAAGGATCGGGCGGGAGAGGAATTAGCTCAGCGAGAGACACGCACTCACACTCACACACACACACAGACACACACACACACAGAGAGAGAGAGAGAGAGCGAGCGAGCGAGCGAGAGAGCGAGCGAGCGAGAGAGAGAGCGAGAGTACAGTACAGTGATCAACAGAGACCCCCACCCACACGCCGCGCAGTGTGGGAAGCGACGACGAGACTCACTCCTCGCACTCGCAGCACGGATCCAACGGGAGGAACGAGGGGCCGCCCAGGCAGCCCCCGGGGCACGCGCAGCCGTTACGGTGCGCGTCCTGCCCGCCGCCCGGCATCGGCGCATCCTCCGCCGCCGGGGCCGGCGGCTCGCCCGGGATTGTCGCGTCCGTCATCGGCGCGCCCGGCATCGGCGCGTCCGGCGGCGCGCCCGGCATTGGCGCATCGTCCGCCGCGGACCGCGGCGGCCCATGCGCCCCACAGTAGGGCACGGCCACGCCAGGCGTCGCCCGCAGGAACGCGGCAAAGGAGTCGTGGTCGAACGTGCCCTCCATGATGGCAAGCCGCGTCGCCGCGTGGGGCGGGCGGTCGATGGCGTCGACGACGACGACGCCCCACGCGTGCTTGACGGCGTCAGCCTGCTCGAGCCCGCGCAGCCACTCCGCCGCGTCCTTCGCGGTGCACTCGTTGTACGACGACGTGCGGGCGGCGAGCATGCGCCGCATCGCCAAATAGTCGCAGTCGCTGCAGCCGGCGCGCTGCACCACGGGCGGCAGCGTGTAGCGCGTCACGGCCGGGAGGCAGAGGGCGTCGCTGCACGCCGGGCAAAGGGCCAGGTGGCGGAGCGCGAGCCCCGCGCGAGTGCGCCGCGAGTGCGCGAGAGCCGCCGCTAGGCGGCGGTAGCTCTCATAGAGAGCGCCTGCGGGCTGCTGCTCGCGCAGCGCCACCTCGAACGCGAACTTTGCGTCCGCGACGAGCTGCGGCGCGTGCGGCGACTCGCCGTGCGCCTCTGCGTCCGCCTCGCGCAGCGTCAGCGCGACGCCGCGCCGCGCGCCGAGCAGCCGCGCGCGCGTCAGCCAATGCGACGGCCAGCACTGCGGCAGCAGCAGCTCCTGCCCATCGGCGCCGCGCCAGGGCTGCTGCTTGAGCTTTGGGTCGGCGCGCCATTGCGGCGGCTTGGGGAGGCACTGCCGGTACCACAGTAGCAGGCGCGCGTCGAGCTGTTGCGTGGACAGCGAGTCCGGGTCGCACGAGAAGGCGTTCGGGTCAGCGTACGGGCCCTCCATCGCAGCCAGCTCGTAGTGCATCTCAGCGCCCATGCTCGGCGGCCTGTGATCGCCGCCGTACGTCTGCAGGAGCCGCCGCACCTCGCGGACGATGGTCCTGTTGAAGGCGATGGTGGTGTTGTCCTTCTCGACCGCCTCCGTCGCCTCCCCCTCGCCCAGCGGCTTGTCGGCCGTTTGGTACGCGTCCTTTGTCTCGACGGTGCCTCCGTCGGCCGCGTCGAGAACGCCCAGCAAGGCATCAGTGGCGATGGAGAGCGTGCGCGCTGACGCCTCGCGAGCCGCCTCCCCCTCCCCCTCCTCCTCGCCGTCGTCCAGCTGCTCGAACAGCCGTGCAGCCGTCTTTCCTGCCTGCGCTCGCCGCACCGCGTTCAGCTCCTCCTCGGCCGCCGCGCCCTCCGAGGCCTCCGCCGCCGCCGCGGCGGCGGCGGCGGGCGACGGCGTCGCGGTGGCGGCGGCGGCAGCCGCAGCCTTGCTCTCCGCCCGCTTCGCCGCCTCCAGCAACTTCTTGTGACGCCTGCGTCGCGCGGCTTCGGCTCGCGAGCGGTTCTTGGGGTCGGGGTCAAACTCGACGGGCGAGATGTCCCAGCGGTCACGCGCGTAGGCCTCGCCGAGCGCGCGCACGACCCTTGCCCACAGCTTGCACTCCGCCTCGACGTCGCCCTGGAAGTGTGGCACCCTGTGCCACGGCCGCTCCGGGTTGTCCTTCTCGAGCTCCCGGTCGTAATCCTCGTGGCGCGCGGCAAGGACGGCGCGCCAGCGCTGCTCCATCTGCGCAGGCCGGGGCCGCTCGACCATGAGCGCGTCCATCTCGACGTCCGCGTTCTCCTTCTCGCCGCCGCCGCCGGCGAGCGGCTTGCGCCGGCGCCGGCGGCCGGACGCCGCCGCCGGCGCAGGTGCGGGCGGAGTCGCGCGCCCCGTCTCGTTGTCGGGCGACTCCTCGCCGCCGGCGGCGTCGGGTGCGGCGACGTCGGCCTGCGAGTCGCGAGGGCGGCCTGCACCGGCGGCGGTCCGCAACGTCTCGCGGCGCGCCGCCAGCCACGCCGTGAACTCATGGGCGATGTCGCTGTCGTCGGGCGGCTGGTACAAGCTCGGCTGGATGTGGTCCATGAAGGCCTCCATCTCGGCCGCGGTCACGTCGTCGGGCGCGTCGACGGGCTGCAAGGCCGTGGACCGCACGGCGGGGCGGCTGCGCCAGGACTGGCGCGTCGCTGACGACGAGCCGAAGCAAAAAGAGCTGGACGACGGCAAGCCCGGCTGCATTCTCGCGCCGGGACGGCGATCCTGGTCGAGCACGAGACGCCGCCTGCTTTCGGATGCTTTCTTTCTTGATTCCGTTTGTTGCAAACGGAATCAGTTGCAAAACCCTGAATAAAAAAACAAAACGCGAAAATCCCCTTTGCAGCCAAGCCTACCGGGCACCTAATTTCGGGGTCGCTAAGTGCCCGGGGCCGAGCGCATCTTTTATTGCAGTGGTCGCTTGCAGTGGTCGCTTGCAGTGGTCGCTTGCAGTGGTCGCTTGCAGAGGTATGCCGGCGAAGCGTAAGAGGTCTTTGAACGCCGCGACTGAGGCTCGCGCGGTCAAGGCCCGCGCGGAGTCAGAGGAGGCAGCACCCAAGTGCACGGCGATCCTGCGGCGGATCCCCAACACGTACTGGCCCGCCGGCCAGGCGCCGCCCCGGGACGTCTCTCCGCAGGGCCTCGTCCGCTCGTCCAACCTCGACGGCTCCATCTTGGCGGCCCTCTCGCTGGTCCGCTCTCTCATGCCGGGCGCGTCCAACACCGACTTCGCATCGCTTCTCGTGCTGGCCTCGCCCGCGGAGGACTCCCTGGGATTGTCCACCGCCGTCGCGCAGCTGGGCGGCGAGGCGAGGGGGCCTCGCGCCGCGCTCGCGCTGCTCAAGGCGGTTCTCGGCACGCTCGAGGCGCTGCACGTGGAGGGCACGAGGCAGCTGCTCGACGAGGCGCGGGAGGCGCTCGCCGGCGGGGCGGCGCCTGCGGCGCTCCTCACGCGCCTCGTCGCACTGGCGCGCGGGGATTGGATGCTTCGGCTTGGCGGCGCTTACTTTGGCCCCGGCGGTTTGCAGTTCCTGGCGGCCGAGGACGCGCCCGTCAAGCCGTCGAGCGTCGCCGAGGCAGCGGCGCGCGTGCTGCTGCGGCGGCTGCGGGAGCAGCGCGATGTGCCGGTCGAGTGCTCGGTGATGGTGCGGGACATTCTCGGCTCATTCGGGCCCGCCGGCCAGGCGCCGCCCCGGGACGTCTCTCCGCAGGGCCTCATCTACTCGTCCAATCTCGACGGCTCCATCTTGGCGGCCCTCTCGCTGGTCCGCTCTCTCATGCCGGGCGCGTCCAACACCGACTTCGCATCGCTTCTCGTGCTGGCCTCGCCCGCGGAGGACTCCCTGGGATTGCCCACCGCCGTCCCGCAGCTGGGCGGCGAGGCGAAGGGGCCTCGCGCCGCGCTCGCGCTGCTCAAGGCGGTTCTCGGCACGCTCGAGGCGCTGCACGTGGAGGGCACGAGGCAGCTGCTCGACGAGGCGCGGGAGGCGCTCGCCGGCGGGGCGGCGCCTGCGGCGCTCCTCACGCGCCTCGTCGCACTGGCGCGCGGGGATTGGATGCTTCGGCTTCGCTGCGAGCGCGGTGGCCACGGCGGTTTGCAGTTCCTGGCGGCCGAGGACGCGCCCGTCAAGCCGTCGAGCGTCGCCGAGGCAGCGGCGCGCGTGCTGCTGCGGCGGCTGCGGGAGCAGCGCGATGTGCCGGTCGAGTGCTCGGTGATGGTGCGGGACATTCTCGGCTCATTCGGGCCCGCCGGCCAGGCGCCGCCCCGGGAAGTCTCTCCGCAGGGCCTCGTCCGCTCGTCCAACCTCGACGGCTCCATCTTGGCGG